GAGGCGCTGGATTTCTTGAATTAAAGAAATCGCGGGGCTGGCTTTCTTAAATTTAAGAAATTGAGGGGCCGGATTTCTTAAATTTAAGAAATTGAGGGGCTGGATTTCTTATTTAGGGGGGAGGGGGGGGGATGAATTAGTTATTTCAGGGGGGGAGGGCAGGGGGGGAGGGGCGGGGGGGGGGGGGGGTGGGGCGGGACCCCAAAACCCCTCAAATTAAGAAACTGAGGGCTGGATTTCTTCATTTGAGGGAGTTAAGAAATCGAGAGGCCGGATTGCCGATTTGAGGGGAGCCCCCAATTAAGAACTTGAGCGATCAGCCTAATGGATAAGGCGTCGCCTTACTAATTCAAACGTTGCCAGTTCGAATCCCATTAAGAAATTCGTTAAGAAATCCAGGGTACCCTCAAAAGTGTGGAGGCTACAGTTCCGGAAATTGAGTGGGCTTCATGATTAAGAAATCGAGGGTACCCTCGCCAAAACTTAGAGGTTTCTTATGCGGCGCTGTCACTGTGCCGTTTCGGACCTCGAAAACCATAGGAGGTGGGGATTAGGCCCCATTCTCTTAAATTTGGGGTCCAGCCCAATTTCTAACCCCCCCCCCCCCCCCAAGAAATTCCTTCCCGGACTGCCCCGCCCCCCCCCGCCCCGCCCAAAATAAGAAATCCAGCCCCTCAATTTCTTAAAGTTAAGAAATCCAGCCCCTCAATTTCTTCAATTTAAGAAATCCAGCCCCTCGATTTCTTAAATTTGCGAAGTCGAGGGGCTGGGTTTCTTAAGTTTAAAAAAAGAAGGGGCTGGATTTGTTTGGCCTTTGCGTCTGCCGCGCCTTGGTTTCAGAGTTCCGTCGCGGGCTTGGGGTTTCATGGCTCTGGGGTTCAGGGCTTCGTGGGCTCATGGGTCAGGGTTCCTGGGATTCGGATTTAGGGTATAGGGTTTGGGGTTTCTTTCAAAAGTTTAGGGCTCAAAGTGGAAGACCCGAACCCTACCTCGATCCGTGAAGCCCCAGGCGTTTGAACGATCTCTGTGACATTGACAAGCTGCATGTGCCTCAGTATACTGAGTATACTGAACTCAGCCGTCATGGCAGTGGGCCATCGCGTTGAGCGTTCGACTGCCCTTACTTGATCACAAGGCTTGTACATTCCCATTCGACGAAGTGACGCAACCAGACTTCTGTGGGTATGTCTTAAATTGCGTAGCTCACCAACACCTTTCTAGCCTTGTTTACAAGCATCTGCGGTTCTTGAAGCTTACATGCGAAAGTTGAGACATTCTCATAGCCCTTGCGTGCTTCTAGGCCCGAAGCTATTGTCCCAATCTGGGCATGACATGATCTTCAGCCGAAAGCTAAGAACGTTCTTTCGGGCCTGGAAGATTTAGTTGCGGTGGAAACCGCACAAACGACAGAAACTTGTAGCTTCCATCGGCGCCCGCGCGCCTCAACGCAGAACCTTGTTTGGTGGCTCGCGCCTACCTCTGAGCTTTTAAGCGAACTCCCATCCTGAAACCCGAGGAAGGGAAAGTCTCTCGCGAGAAGAAAAAGGTGCTGCAGCCAGGATGCCGCCGCTTATGACTCATGAATGAACAAAGTGAGCGACATAAACGTAACCATCACCAGTAAGCATTCGAAGTAAGACATGAACATATACTACAAAAGTGGTATATTCTAGTGCATGTAGCGGTTTCGTTCACAGCATCAGTAAATTCACGCACTCACTACATTCGTTTGTCATTGTTCTCCTCACGGTAAACCTAAGAATAAGACAAATACACGATCCGTGAAGAGAACGCGAAGTCAATAGTCTTTTCACTCACTTCGTTCATTCCTGGGCGATTTTGGTGCGTTTCAAAGGCCTTACAACATACGCCCAGTTGATTCTCTTCGTTTAACCTTAGAAATCCAGTATTCGTGCAGCCGGGAAGTGAGCTGTCATGTGTGAACTCTCGAAACACTAGAACGATCATAGCTGGTTAAAAGAGGTTAACAGGTTCATAGAGGTGATTCAGGAAGCCAACCAACACACCAATCATGCATTCGTTCCCTTCATTCTTTGCTCTATCACTTCGCTCAATTGTTCACTTCGTTCTCGCGGCCGCTACGGTAATAGCCGGGGCTGAGGGCAAGACTTTGTCAAGGACGAGGGTGTTGGCTTGTCGCTTGTCCGGGCTGTGTTCTGATGAAGTCCTGTCAGATTTTGGGGTTTAGGGATGATCGTTGCAATAAGAGGATGTTTCTCTGCTGGAGCTTACCTTAGATGTCACGTGTAGTATACCAGAGGAAACTACTCTAGCTGCAATTGTGGCAGCCTTTCCACTCTTCGTCGGGGGATCCGCAGTGTCGTTACACGTGAGGAGTGGGATATCCCTCACCAAAGTGAGTGAGGCTTGTACGTGCAACAAACATCCATTTCTGTAGAAGTGTACAAGTTGCAATTCCGGAGTCTTGTTTTCCTTCTTGTCTGATTGGGGCTTGTGTTTATTTGAGGTTCGAGGCTCGAGATCTTCTCTACCGGATTTTGTAGTTCCATTCTTGTGACACAGTTGTTCCGTTTCTATAGGGCCACAAAAGGATCACATTTGATGCATGCCATGTTTGTCTGACGACTGCAAGTGAGAGAAGCTTATTCAATCCACAAGTGTGGCTCAGCTGATGCCGTGTGTCGGGAACTCTCAATACTCACCATGTGACTGACTTGTGGTAAAGGGGATGCCTAGCCTTCAAACTCTGGTAGCTACTATCGCGGTTGTACCCAAACCCAACAAGCGACATCTTGGTACTCTCCTTCCATTTGTCGCCTTGGCGCAGCGGCTGAAGCAACTAGAGGCCAACTGCCGCTGTCAGTCCATGCTTCAGCATCACTCATGGCAAAAATGATCAGTGTGTGCTTTGCAGGATCCTCGACCTGGTCTTTCATCGTTGCTAAACACCGGCGAGGCTTGGATGGTCTCCTGCACGCTATGCAGACACTTTTTCCGGACGGCTTCTGTTGGTTAACAGGGTTCTGTTCAGCTGTCTGTTAGCAGAGACCCACTCCACGATGGCACTTGTTGTGGGCGAGAGATGCCATGACGTGGAGTGCGTGTATGCAGCTGACGAGCTAAACTCCTCGTTCAGATCTCAGTGCCGAAAGGGACTACGGAGAACGAGCAACCGCTGACTCGAGCATACCTTCAAAGCCATGAAGCTTTTGTTCTTGGTGTAGGGTGGGGTAGTTGACTATTTCCTCGGCCGGCTTTTCGGCAACCAGCTTGTGTGCAGTTGTTTTTTCGTCAGACACACATGCACACAAGCACACACTCTTCTCTTTGTCTGTATTTACTGAAGACTTGTCAGAGCTTTTGTTCATCTTTCAATAGAACCGATCAGCCAACATAATTGCACGTGGTATCCTACATGTCAGAATATTGGTTCGTAAGCTTGCGAGTGGCCCAGCATTTCAACAAGTTCCTGGCCCTGAGCAGGCTCTTTTTCTCTGGGCATTTCGAAGTCTGCGGACCCTTGCCAGCTAGCAATGTTTTGATTTGGGGAGCGCTGTTTGCAAATTCTCGATACAGTAGCCTGTCGGGTCGTGAGAGTAGATCGCAATGTCTTCTGGAGCTGCGGGGCTTTGTTAAGTTCGGGTTTTTGATGTTCCTTAGACGCTGTCAGGGTGTTTTGGGTTAAGCAGGGTTCGTTGGTTTCCGGGATGTGTGTGTGTGTGTGTGCGTAAGGCGGTGAAATCGGGCATTTCGGCAAAGTGCTTATCGCGGGTGTCGAGGGTCCCCACCCCACCGAACCCACGGGTATGAGGGTTGATGGATTCGGTGTTTAGGGTAGAGCCCACGGAGCGTCACCATCGTGAACCTGTGAGTGAGGACGTGCCCAATCGGAGGCTTGCCCTCCGCGAGGTGCCGCAGACTGAGGGGTTTTAAAGGCTTTGCTCTGAGGGTGCAGGCGGCGTGTTGACAAAGTCAGGGCGCCTCACGTAACTCGGGTTGCGACGGGTTTCTTCAAATCAGCCGGTTCGGCTTGTTTTGCCAGTGTCGTGTCTAGGGTTTCGGGTGATGCGGGGGTGTCCCAAAAAAGTGTACGTCTGACATGCTTCTGTGCCGTGGTATCAAGACTAAGAGGTGTAAGTCGTGAGCTAGAATGCATGGGGTCACAACAGTGCTTTTGGACATGGGGGACGACTGCGACGCAGTTTTTGGAGAGGTTTGGCTGGACCCTGACATTCCGCTGTGGACCGTCCACAAGCTGTCACCAGCTCTCCCAAACCATCCAACCCCGAACCCATTGACCCTGAGAGGTGCTCCCTGGCCTATCTGGCCTGGTGCCAGCACCTCGGCGGGATGCTGACAGGTTGAGGATGAAGTGGAAAAATTATTGAGTGTCACAATATAGCAGTTCCGCGTTTGTAACCATGCCACCACCGCACCTTTGCCCACCGTCCTTCTTTGCGGGCTTCGTGCGAGAAGCTGTAGAAGGCATCTTCCAGCTCGTCGCCCTAAAGAAGTTCAATGGGCGTGTGCATGATAGACTCTGATAGACGTTCTGCATACGCGAATCATGATATTCCCAGGAGGGGGGGGGGGGTGCAACTTCATGCACAGAAATATGCAGTACAGGAAGGTTCTCGTGTCAATGACGGCCGGAGGTGCAGTGCAAGCCCGAGGGATGATAGCTGTCGGGGGGTTTTGCTGCAACCCGTATTGTTCGATCTTGACCGGCGCCACCTGCACCCCGATTTACAACTGCAGAGTTTTGGGGTGCAGGGCCCTGATACTGAAGACGTTCCCGAGTCCCAGAGTGCTGTTAGCCGCAGGGGCTTGTGCTTACATCTAACCAGGCTACCCTTAAGGAAAGGCCGTGAGCACAACTACTCCAGCCCCAAGCAAGGTAAATTCAATTCCAATATCAAATAACTTGCATACACAAATAAGTCTAATAAAGTAATTCTATTACCATACAACCTCAAAGCCTGTGAGGTTCCAGTTGCGGGCTGCCAATCATCTGGGCAATGGAGTTTGGGACTCAGGCTGTGCCGCACATTGAACCTTTTTGAGTGCCAGCGGCTGTGCTGAGCTGGAATGTCGGAACCGGAAAATGTCGGCGTTGTCCTATTAGCAATTCCATCCAGATTTTCCTGAAGATTCCACGAGCTGATTCCAATTGCCCAAAGTCCGTCTGGGTTCCAATAGAGCAAAGACAACTGGTGACATGTTTTTGAGCAAGGTGCGTTCTTGTCGAGCCGTGTCTCAAGCCAGCAGAATGCCAAGGCCGATGGCTGGAGACCGTCAACGCCTCACCACAGCTGTGAATGCATGTCCGGTAACATTGCTGTTTGCAAGGATAAGTTGCGAATAGCTTGGCAGTGATCCCGCAAGGTCAGAATGCACAGCGAAGTAAGCACATGGAGAGAGCAGCTGCATCATGACTAGTATTCGTTGATGGTTCTGCTCACATTCTGGGCAGGCACGCAAGGGAAGGGCGTGACAGAACTCTTTGGTTGATCATGCAGTAGACCCTATCAACTCTTGATTTCATTGCTTCCTCCGTAGCACATGGCTGCTCAGCATTTGTGGAGGATGTTTTGTCATCAGGGAACCCAAGAGATTCAATTCTTGAGGGGGCTGCAATCCAAGCACCTCTTCGCTCCAAGGCCTGCCGGCTTCGCCATCCCGCGTGAGCGAGGCAGGTGGACTTGGAGTTCCAGCATGACTTCCTGATGCGATGTATAATGATGTATATTCGTCCCGCGTTCCACTTGCGTCCTAAACTTCCGCAGACTTAAGAATGAACCGACTGCAAAAAGGGACGCGTATTCATACTGGGACACATTTTGAGTCCTGGGCAACACAGCCTGGGCTGTGCAAAGGAAAAGTTCAGAACGTTCCAAGCGATGAGGGATCGAATCCTTCTGGAAATTCAACATGCAAAGATTCCCCAGGGAGCCTTGGATTCTTTTCTGGATCCAGTGCCTGATCCGTGTGCCAAGATCAGCAAAACAGAGTTAAAGAAAGAGGCTGGCTCAGCAAATCCCAGATTCTTGGATTCTGGGAGAACTGCAAATAGTTTCCTAAGCCGTAATCATGCCAAGAAAGAAAGCTCACGCCTGTGTTTTGAAATCCATGTGTAATCCAACGATTGGCTTCCTGGCCACTGTTGCGCCTTTGCTACTTCCAGAATGGTAGCAAACTTCTACGTTGAGTCTTTGTAGTTTTTTGCATCTGCCCAATTCAGAATAGGCCCACGTATGAACAGACAGGATGGGGAGTTTGGGATAGTGAAAGCACAGGGAGCGAAGAAAGTAGAACGGAAGCCTGCGGCCAAGATAGAGGGTGTGAGCCTGGCAGAAGCCGTTCGCGCGACACTGTCTGTGAATGTTGTTGTTGTGTGCCATGGATTAGGCTTGTGTTACATTGTGAAACTTCTCATGTTTCGGGCCCAATCCGGCCAAGATAAGTCCGCAACTCGCAGCTCTTTCTGGGGCGAGATATCTCATTTTCGATCCAATTGTGAGTTGGGTGGACGAAGGCGGTGGAGCACAAGCTCTCGGTGTTCCAGAAGCGCCACAGCTGACATTCGTGAAGCTGCAGGGTCGTGGTTTTGCAGTGTCCAGCGGAAGGCTCCGTTTGTGAATGTACCACGCAGGTTTCCCGAACCCAAGCCCATGAGAAGTACCAGGGTCAGAGCATTCGAGGTGGGGCAATCGTGCGTCCATGAAACATATGAGCTTGTTTCCAAGGCAACGCCTGGAGCACTTGGAGCTGAGCCGCGAAGTGCCTGGACAAGGTTTAGTCCTACACAATTCCCTTCCTTTTGTGCTGATGCCATCGGACCCACTGTGGGAAGTGATAATGAGCCAAGGCAGCACCTTGTGAGCTGGATTAAAATCCATGGATCACTCCAGGTTTGCGCCGCGGACGGGCACTGCCAGTTCAGGGCAGTGGCAGCGGCGGGCGGCTTCAGGGCCATTCAGCCCCAGACTCTGCGTCTGCGAGTGGGGCGCTGGCTCTTGGGTCGAGCCAACCAGCTCCCTGGCACATTATTGTTTTTTTTTGCGTTTCTTTTCGCTATTTCATGAGGCAGTGTTCTCTTCTTGCCACGCGCTTGTTTTTCTTCACTTCAGCCTTCTGCTGTCTGATGGTTTTCTCCGCTATTGTTGTTCGATTTGTCGAATTCTCTTTGCAATGTTTTCTTCTCCTGACGTCCGCTTCTTGATGCAAACTTTTCGCTCCTGTTTCTCGCTCTTTGCCTGGAAGTGGCTTCGTAAGATACAGAGCGGCAACAAGGTATCAGGCACAGGCCCAGGGTTGTCGCGGACCCAAAGGTGTGCGAGTGTGCGCAACTTGTGGAAAAGCAGCAAACTTTCAGCTTACGTGTGAAGGCGGGTGGCGGGTGGCTTTGAAGCCCGTGCCATGAAGGTAATCCGGCTGTTGATTGTAGGGTTCGGTGCTTTGAAGGGTTTAGGCTCCGGGAACTGTGCGGATGCTGCCAAAGTCGACATTTGATGCTATGCGCTCACGTGCTCCCTCTGCAATCTCGGAGAGTGAACGTCAACGCGCAGCATCAGTCATCAGTGGCAGAAGCCTTCTATGCCTCCCAGAGTTGAGTAGCCCATGGTTTCCACCCGCGAACTGCGCATCTGCAGATGTGGAGCTTTGTAGACGTAAATCTGGAGTCCGAAGTTCTTTTCATGTGTATATTCGATATGGAATTCTGGCACTTTTGCCCCTTTCGTGTATGTGTCTGGTGTGTAAAGCAACTGGAGGAAGTGTGGTTTCGTACATACCAAGAAAAAGGGCAGACGCCTGTTGACAGCGATATGAGTGTGCAATCTCAGGTACGAGGGCTTCGTGCAGGGCTCTTTCGGCGAGTACGTCGCCGGGACCGCTGCGCCATGCTTTTCGTGTTCCACCGTTTCTGTAATTTTTTGTGAACGCGGCGCCCTTGCCACCACGCCTGCTGTGTGAGGATGATGGCCGACTCTTGGGGGGACCACGTCAGTCTGGAGGCCGTGGTGGGCTAAATGTTTACAGGATCACACCGCCAGGCTTCCACATTGGTTGAGTTTGGTGCTGTTACGTGGCAGCGGCCCCCATGCCCTCGCCACCCCCGCCCCGCGGATGCAGAATGCCCGCTTTCGCGCAGGCCTTGTCGGCCATCCTTGGACGCAGGCGTTTGGGCATGCTCGTGAAAGCGAGTAAGCGGTTGTTTGAGCGTGGTTAGACAAGTGCAGCGTTGGAATTACGTGTCAAGCCCTTGCGTGATAAAATTGTGTTGAAGATAGTGTAAGCTGCGTGCCTGGATGCCAGGATCGTGGTCCTCTCGGAGGATGCGGAGACCACTGTAGGTACTGGCGGCCCACCGATCATGATCATCTTCTTTAAGGAGCTTCGCCGCCGTAGTTATGCGCATTAGCCGCTGCGGGGTAGTATGCCGCAGTGCCTCACGTCCGTGCCGTGCAAAAGCCAGCTGGTTCTGCAGGAGGTGCATTATGATGCGGCTGTGCCCCGCCGCTCGCTTGTATTGATTTGTGCTAGGACATTCAAGTCTGCGGGGCCCCCGCTGCAATTATCGATCTGCAGGCTGCAATGAGTTGTGGAAGCTTGTGATAGGATTTGGAAGGCAGGCTTAGCGCAGGTTCAAGCCGCAGCTCTGAAGCGTAGGGTTAGAGGACTCCATGTTCCCAACGTCCACAGGGCATGTAAAAGGAGATGAGCAGTTCGTGCTTTTCTGGCGATGCAACAACATTCGTTGAGCACAGACCATGCAGCCCGACACCCGCCCCATCAAAGCAAGCCGCAGCTTGTCAACAAGCTGGGCGGCCCAGGAGATCTGACGCAAGTGGAGGCGTGAGTGCGTGTGTAAGTTTCTTGGACCCTTTGTCGGTTGAGGCATGATGTGGAGAGCGCGTTCATTACTAACAAGACACGCCCGTGCAAGCCCTCCTATGCTGCTGCTGTGCGCGCATCACCGTGAGACAGCCTCTATGACTCCAGGTAGGACGTGAGCCTTTCCTTTCTGCGCCCTCACATAAACCCCAAAGCGAAAGACTTAACCCTCAACCTTTCCGAGCATTCAGGCTGGCACTTCGGTCACTGACCCCAACAGTTGCCCAACATACCCCAACCGATTGCAGCAGGTATAAAAACCTAGATCCTCGTCACGAGTCATCAGGCCATGGACGAGGCAGATCTTGATCAGATCATGAGGCATGGCCGGGTCTGCAGAGCTTTTCAGACTGTTGGCAGCCTTCCAGATGCAAGCGCTCAAAGCGGAAGGAATGTAACCCCAACAAGCCCAGCTGATTCCCGGAGGCAGCACCTGGAATGAGTGGAGCACGAAATGCTCGATCCTTGGTGATTCGGATCTGGCCAGTGGTGGGCCAGGACGTCAAGTTATTTTCATTTCTCGAGGTTGTCGCATCCAGGAAGGTTGTCCTCCACTCAGAGACTCCGACTCCAAGATGCGGACAACATGGTCATTATATAGCAAGCACCACTGAATACAAGCATTAAAGAAAGTCCACAAAGTTGTGTATTGATACTATTCCACCTGAACTAGCTACATACATACTGGAAGTCTTTGACAGGACGCAGGCGCACGTGAACACAACAAAGCCAAGCTTGGGTTCACAACGCTGAGCGTGTACCACGCTGTCAACTCTGCTTGCGTTTCGAAGTGGGAGCCACCTCCGGTCTCGTTCGGAGTTTCAAGGATGGGGCTGGTGAAGGTGTCACTGCGGCGTCAAGCATCCACAGTTTCAGTGTAAGAAGGGAGTTGTGAGGTGCAGGCCCAGTGTTTGCCCAGCACTCCAATCCTTTCCTCTTTTCTTCCTGAGTAATCCCGTTCCCCAAATATGTCTAAGACCACCCCTAACTTCAAGCCCTAAACCCGAAGCCCCAGCTGAGGCTAGAGCGCTGGCAGCAGGCTTGTCCAACCTGCGCCACGTGGCCGCTGCACCGCCGCGGCTCTAGTTGGAATTCAGCAGAGCAAGAAGCAAGCACTGGGACCCCATAGGTGGTGCCCCTTGACTTCACTGGGTCTTGATGGCCTTTTGGCAGTCGGCGTGGAAGCCGTTTGTCGCCGGGCTTTCGCTTGCAGCCTCCCGGCTCAACGTATGCCCGTGTAAGCATCCAATCTGACTTGTTTTCTGAAGCTGAAGCATGCACAGGCTAACGCCCCTGAATCAAGACTTTTGCGGTTTGTGGCGGATTTCGGCGGCTCTGGCCTCTTGCTGTACGATCCCGCATCCAGAGGATCTTCAGTTCCTGCTGGTGGATAGGAGCGGTAATAGAGGACATTAAGGGAGCCTTCACTTTACTAGTACGAGGACCGTGCTCCAACTCGCCAGAACCGTTTCGCCATAGTTGATGTGGGACCGGGCGCACCAGACTCAGGGACCTTAAATAAGGGTCTGACAAGTGAAATAAATGGCAGATATTCTTGCGTTATAAAAGGGTTTAGGGTAATGTTTAGGTTTATGTATATATCTTTATCTTTTCATTTCTAGAAATTATGCATGCTGCGAGTATGCTTCGCAGAGGTGTGCAGAGGTCGTGTTGTTGCACTAGGGCTTCAAGGGGCCCTACGCCCCAACCGTGTGGCTCTTGCAAGTCTGGATCAGGACAGCGCTCGCACCTCGCATTTGGTGTAGTCGGATTAGACTGCAGATCGCAATCAGCCTGCCTTCACATCCTGTGCTGTATCTGTATCTCCTATCATGCTGTTGCATTCCTTGCAGGTTGCCTGAAATTCTAAGCTCACCGATTGAGGGCTCAGGCTTACTTCGTATCTATGGGCAGATAGATGCGGCTGATGGGATGAGCCAGTCGACAATCCTCACAGCAAAATAAATGCGGCTGATGGATGAGCCAGTCGACAATCCTCATGGCAAAAAAGCGGTAAGGACTTCCGACCTCTAAGTGTCTACAACCCTAACGATCCCTACCCCTTCAAGAAACCCATGACTCTAACTGCGCCGCACGATGGAATGGATTACGTTGGGATGTGCTTTAGGTGGCAACGATTTAGCCTAGTCTTTCGGGCCTTGGTCGGGCACATGGTTTGGTTTGCTGGCAGGGCAGTGGTTGTTTGCTGTCAGCTGGTTGAGACGTGGTGTCCAAACGTACGGAAGGGGGGAGGACTCATTGTGAGGTCTGCGATCAGCTATTGCTAGTTCCTGCAGCTGCTGCGCTGAGCTACTGAACTAACCAGCTACCTGTCACCCTTTCACAACTCTAGTTTCGGTGTCGTCCTGTTTGTCGTGCCTCGTCGGGCCATGCCGACGCAGTGTGTAGTCCCAGAAGGGCGTTCAAGCCCCCCTTTCACAGCCCGCCCAACAACCCCCACATCCCACATTTCCCAGCCAAAACAGGGGAAACCGATCATCCAAAAGAACACCCCAAAACGTTCCTACCGTTTTTTCGGCTCAAGCGGCGGTCCGCTGTGCCAAGAAGCGGATTGTTTGGACAATTCACCAGGCTCCATATCAACGAAGGCTCCCGCGTTGTTTGTTGAAGGTTTCATGGTTTCTTTGAAGTTGGAAGTTCAATGAGGGTTTACATCGCCGCGTCTGCCCACAAAGAGCCTCTGTGGCTCAACTTGTGCTTGTTCGGGCGGCCAAGCCGAAAGCCCCCTACGAGAACAAAAAAACAAACATGCCAATTTCGCCCCTTGCTAAGTTCGCCCTGAGAGCTCCATTCCAGGTCTCCGGACCTCATGATCAAGATTTGGTGCCGGGAGCCTTGAGAACCAAAGCCAGAGCTTGCAAGGAATGTTCCCACATCGAAGTTAGCCCCCAAAACAGTATGCACCCGAGCTGTCCTGTAGCAGCTGTGTCTTGAGCTGCCTTCACAAGAATTCGAGCGAAAGTGTCAGCTGTTGTGAGAGGACCCCAGGCTGAAGTCCCAGATGCCAGAGTAATCCTCGCCGCCATTCCGCCGAACCAAGGTTCATCCGTATTGCCTGGGCCCCAGCTACGGCAGCTACGGCATCTGCGGCGACCTGTCAGACCCACCTCTGCGAGCCCGGAAGCCAGATGCTGACATCGAGGGGTCCTCGATTCTCCTTCCAAGGCTGTGGTGGGGCACGCTGATTGACAACGCTTCAGGCATCTGGGCTGAAAAGCCTTGCGCGCAGCTTGAAGCCAGCTTGCTTTTTTTGTTTGAGAAAAACGCACATACTCGTAGCGAGACGTGCGTTTGACCTGAGCTCCCTTTGCTATGCTTGTATGGGAATTTGGGAGCTTGACATGTGCAGACCTGGCATTGCACGTTTCTTTCATAGAAAGACGTAGTGCCTGGCACTCGCCAGTCTTGGTTTGGGTATGTTTGGGTTTGTCAAGCGACTGCAGGAGTAGCTCCGGTTCTGCCCGTTGAGTGCGGCGTCTCAGGTTTGGGTAAGCAGGTTTCGAGCGTTTCAAGTCAGGATTCGAAGCACGCTCTTTTGTATTGAAGTTCATGTGCCTTGGGTGAGGTCACGCCGTTGTTGGCCCGGGCGGACAGGCCGCGTTGGGCGAGCAGTTGGGCAGCGCATGTTGTGATCGGATTGTCCAACGTCCAACGGACAAGTTTTCATCTCGTCCCAAGAAGAAGGCCTACCAGCCCCCCTCACGACGATCCATAACGCTTGCAACCACTGCAGAATGGTAAGCCATGCCTACTCTGTTGGGAAACATCCTTTTTCCCTAAACCCTATAAATCCTGAAACCCTGAGCTCTGAAACCCTGCACCCCTGAACCCGGATCCCCATAAACCTTGGAAACCCTAAACCCTAAGCCCCAAACCCTAAACTCTAAACCCTCAACCCCAAACCCCAAACCCTAAACCCTAAACCCTAAACCCTAAACCCTAAACCCGAGGCCCTACACCCTTCCCTTAAGTGCGCGCGCGCAGGTCCATCTCGAGGGCCGGGGCCTCCAGGGCCTCAAGCCCTGGATCCGGCGGGAGCATGAGGAGACCATGCTGAGCGCACGGGGGGGGTTTCTCGTCGGTGTTCGGGTTTCGGGTTTAGGGTTTAGGTTTAGGGTTTGGGGTTTAGGGTTCAGGGTTTGGGGTTTAGGGTTTAGGGTTGAGGGTTGAGGGTTGAGGGTTTAGGAGTTGAGTTGAGAGGAAGGAGAAGATGTTGAGAAATCTTCGAGGCCTTGGGTTTGTTAACCCAAAAAAGCTTCTGTCACATCACTGGTGCTATCGTCGATTGAGAGTTGTGAGCGGAGTGTTGAAGTATGAAGTCCGCTCAGGGTCCTCACAAAAGTTCCCGCAAGCCCCAATATTCGTGAAGGGTGGGCGTCGGCTTCTGTCATCCTTGCAAACCAGTCGTGAAACGCGATGTGTGACCTCCGTTAGAGTGCCCAAGAACCGAGAAAGAAATGCCCGTGTCAAAGTTT